GCTGCGGGAGCTCGGCGGCCGCAGCCCCGGGTGCCCGGGCTCCCTTCCAGCGGGCGGGGGCTGCCAGCAGGGGAGTCGGGGGGTTTTTTTCCCCCTCTCCCGATAGATACTTGTGCAAATGCTTAAACGTTGCTAACTGCCGAAGCGTATTTATCTTACAACCCTCGCTGGAGGAGGTAGGACTGCAGAGGGTCGTGCCTGACACCCCTGTGCAAGTGCAGTGATGAACCTCTCGTGTAGCTGAAGTGCAGACGGGTTGGAATATGCTGCAGACAATTTACGAGAGTGAATCGTGTTTTTCCTCAGATGGGGTTTCTGGACGTGAAAAGCTCTTGGCTCAGCAAAGAATGCACAGTATGATCAGCTCAGGTAAGAGACAGCTCCATACCTTGAACTTCAGTGGCTGACTGGGAGAATTTAGCCTATCACAACAAGAAAACGACCCTCCTTTAAAGAAGTGACTTTTATTTTTGTGTGCTGTATGTAAGTTGTTAAATAACTACCTCTATGATAGTATGGATAGACAGCTGCTTTTGCAAGGAGTTTCCCTCGCTAAGCCTGCTGCTTTCCAGCCAGAGCAAAATGCTCACAACTGAAATGTAGTTTAGGATTCCTTGTTTATTTTGTTGCATGGTTGCAAAATGGGGTTCATGGTGCAGGTTTATACACAGAGAGAGGCTTCCTCAGACAGTCCTTGTCAGGAGGCTGCAATTAGAGCCCCTCATAGGCAATTCTGGTCATATGTTGTAAACAGGTTTTAGTCTTTCTGTGACTTTCCTTTCCTCCAGTTTGTACACACAGGGAGTTAAATACCAACCCCTTTCTCTTTTCATCACAGTGTTACTTTAAAATATCTTGAATATGCATGGCTTATTTTGTTACTTCGAAACTATTTGGGAACCTGGCAGTGGCAGTTATAAGTAATGACTCACTGAGATGCAAATTGGAAATGTTTTTTAATGAAGTTATTTCAGAGCTGCTCTGAAAGAACACTGGACATTTCCTCATGTATTTGAATCTACCCTTGTATTTTCTCTTTTCTTTGCTCCCTGTGTTTGAGACCTGCAAATGACACACTGAGGATTAATTAAGTTGGAAGAATTGTTGCCATTCAGATAAAATGTCAATTTAGAGAGGCTAAAAAAAAGGGGGGGGGGGGGGGGGG